AAATTCTTGTAAGTAATTTACAAGAAAATGTGTAGCAGATAGGGGGGAGAAGTAACAACTAGACTTTAAGAGTTGAGGTGTTGAGTTACAGGCTATTGTACCATGATAGGTAATGGTGATGTAAGATATTCATTTTCACATTAAATTTGTTGACCTTTTAGAGAAAACTCAGTTAGGTAACTGAAGATTCTGGAGCTCAGCACTTAAAACCATAGAAATAGAAATAGCAGTTGTCCATCCAAGACAAAAAGTTGATTACCTGTGGCACCCAGGGCCATCTGTAGCTTAGCTGTACTGTGGGTGGATTTGAACATTGGCAATTGGCTTCATTACACTTTATCTTGTGCTCACTTCTCCCTTTTTATTTTATTCCACCCCAAATCAGAGCCATAAATTTATTGTATTCGCATCTTAGGTTCTTCCTTGTGAGGCTGCCTTGGCATGCTGAAACTTGTAAAAAAATTCAAACCATTCCTGTCAAACCAAGGCACTGGGACAAATTGCACATGAAGTGTGTCTCTCTAAAAATGGTTGTTACTTGATGGTGGTCCAGTAAGCAGTAAATGTTATCTAATCTGTTGCAGCAATCAAAGCTCAACTTTTATTGCTCTGAAAATTAGTCTTAATTACCAGCAGCTGCTAAGGAAATCCTAGGGAGGATTGAAGAGGATATGCAAGAAATAGCAGAAATCAACCCTGAAAAGCAGGGAATACACACATTGTTTTTTCATGCATTTTCACTCTCATTCACATGATACACCTCCCATTGCAGATCAGTGGTGGATCCAGACCTTCAGCTAAGGAGGGTGGGGGTGATTTTGTATGCATGTGTTCACCTGCCCGCTTTTCTTCCCCCTATGTTTATTATTTTTTTTTTACCTAAAATAAGGTTGGGGGGGAGGGCTAGGCCTCCCATGTCCCTTCCCTAGATCCATCATTGCAGATGCCTTGGGCATGTCGTTCAAACTTAGGAGTGAAGAGGGGTTAAGGAGGGGAGTGTGTAGGAGGGGGGGTGAGGTGAGACAGAGGTTAAGGGGGAAGGGCCATACATACATGGCAATCTAGACCCTCAGCAAATAGGGGGGGGCAGCAATTTGGTTTGTGTTTGTTCACCTGCCTGCTTTTCTTCCCTCTATGGTTAATTTTTTTACCCAAAATAAGGGAGGGCTTAGGCCCCTTATGTCCCTCCCCTAGATCCATCAGTGTGGATGTCTTGTGCATGTCATTCAAACCAAGGAGTAGAGGGGGTTAAGGAGAGAGGTGTGTAGGAGGGGGTTGGGGTGAGTCAGGTTAAGGGGCCATACATACATGACAATCCAGACCCTCAGCAAAGGGGGCGATTTTGTTTGTGTGTGTTCACCTGCCCGCTTTTCTTCCCTCTACATTTATTTTTTATCCAAAATAAGGGGGGCCCAGGCCCCTCATGTCCCTCCCCTAGATCCATCAGTACAGATGTCTTGTGCATGTCATTCAAACTTAGGAGTGGAGGGGGGTGGGGTGAGATGGAGATTCAGGGGTCATACATACATGACAGTTTCACAATGTTTAAAATGAGATTTATCGTTTAATTCCAGGTTATTTTGAATATGCGCCTTCGTTCAACAGATGGTCAGTCCACATACTCAGTTGTACTTACACTTGTTGGTAAAACCACTGATTTCTTCGCAACTTATCTTCTGCTTTTACCACCACAATATGTTGTCATGACCTATTTTTCAAGTACCATGGCTTTCATCAATGGAATACAGGTAATTAAGTAGAATGAAAATGCATATATTACTGAGGAAAAGAATTAAACCCAGGTGAATCAATATAGAGAAAAAGAACATTTAATAAACAAAGAAATGGGTACAAGCCTTAAATAAACAAAAAGAAAAAGAAACAACAAAACAAGGCAAAAGTAGCGAATACGAAAACTTAAAATTTTTTTAACACAAAGCTTATTCTGATTTTCCGTTTTCTTTGGAACTTTACCTTAAAATTTCTACGCTTTCAAAACACCGTGACTTACTGGCTTGAGTAGTTGTTGGTAATTCGTGTGAAATAACTTGTTTTTGGAAGCACACCACCTAATCATTTCAACGAGTGCACATGAGCAGACATTTGACCGGTGTG